CTCAGATTCTTAGACAATTTGAGTAAAAAACCTTAGTGAATCATATTCTCTTGGTTTGAATTTGGGTTTCAATGTTGATTTTCGTATGATTGTTGTTAATGTTCTCATATTCTTAGTCAATTTGAGTGAAAACCCGAACTTAATCATATTCTCTTGATTTCAATATTGAGTTTGACATGATTGTTGTGAATTTTCTCAAGTTTTCAATCAATTTGACTGAAAACCCTAGTTAATCATGTTCTTTTGCTTCCAATTTAACTTTCAATGTTGATTTTTGCTGCGATTGCTGTGAATGTTCTCATATTCTGAATCAATTTGAGTGAAAAACCCTAATTAACCATATTCTCTTGCTTTCAATTTAAGTTTCAATGTTGATTTTGTTTTTATAGCCATGAATGTTATCAAATTTAGACTTCATGTGAATGACATTGGATTGATTCTTTTAGGACACATTCTCAGTGTTTATATCTGGTCTATGTTGATTTTTCGTACAGGAAAGCAACTCATGAAAACCCCGAGACTAAAAAGTAATGCAAAGAAAATGATAAGAAAGCATAAAAAATCAACTTCAATGGATAAAAAGCAAAAGGGAAAGCGTAGAGAATGGAGATTAACTTTCAGATCAAACGTGGTGACAATAGTGAAGCTATTACAGCACATCAAACTCAGGAATGAGCATATTAATGGCTTGAAGAAAACCCCATTTTGGTTATTGTTTGATGCCATATTGACAAACGAGATGAATTATAAACAATGCAGAAAATATGATGGCATTGCATTGAAAATAATTCAAACATACCAGCCAGGCAGCAGTGGTTCTTTCCAGTTAGGACCAGAAACTGTAAAGCTAACAATGGAAGACATCAAGTCCATCTTTGGTGTATCTTGTGGAGATGAGCCGATGCATCTTGGTTATGGAAATAAAAGTATATCATCATTTCTGACAAGGAGATCCATACAAACTGAAAGGCTATCGAGCACAGACATCATAGACTTGTTGCAAAAAGCATTGAAAGGCAAGAATAAAGAAGACAATGAAGATGTGATAAGGATGCTGTGTATGTATACTTGTTTGAAGTTTTTTTTCTCTACATCAAGAACAGTTGGATGGGTATTTCTTAATTACATGGAAGACATAAACTCAATGAGAAAATACAATTGGCTAGAAGCAAAATATCACAAAAATCCAGCAAAAGTCACAGGATGTGTTATGGCTCTCTTAGTAAGTACATCTTTACTCTATTCTATTAGTTTGTTGTTAATAATAAATAGTATTATTTCTTATTCAAATGACAAAAATTCTTTACATTTGCTTTGTAATATTGGTTGTGTGAGCACATACTGATTAGCCACCCTGAAGTTAGCGAAACATGCCCAAGGGTGATCAAGTGGAATCTTATCAAATTACATAAACGTATAAAGTCATATCACTACATCAACTGACAACAAGACAGGTCACATCCTCATGTCATTTGAATTTCAATTCAAGTTGGGAAGAATCCCTATTTTTATACACTGAATTATTACTGAGAAACTTTTTAGTTTCCTAAACTTCAATTATTTCAAAAACTAATATCTATTGTATATTGACCTACAGGTAACTAGTGCTCAATTGAGTGGGAAAAGTGATGAAGAACTTAATGACACTGAAGAAGAAGAAAAAGAAGATGCTGAAAATACTAAAGATGCTGAAGAAGAAGAACAAGAAGTACAAGAACAACAACAACAAAAACAAGATACTGAAAATACTAAAGAAGAAGAAGAAGATTCTGAAGAAGATGAAGAAGAAGAAGAAGATGGTCAATATGCTGAACAGTGCCACCAAGAACAAAAGCCAGCAAATGAAGACTTTAATGGTTTCTGCAACATTATACTCAATGATGCACTTGAGGGAGAAAAACAAATTCATCAACAAACACTTGAGAAACTTCAAACTGAGAACAACAATTTGCAACTTGACAACACAGTGAAGACCATCTACATAAATAAACTTGAAGATGATAACAGGCTACTCACAGCACAAATACAACAATTGAAAGATGAAAATTCTCGATTGCATAACCAATTGGTTGAAAAAGAGGTCCATGAGATAACCCAAGAAGTTTGTGGAGTAAAACATTCTGGGACAGATGCAAAGAATGAAAGTCATACAATAAACAATGAAAATTTTCAAGTGCTACAGAAAGAGGTCCATGAAAATTCTGAAGTGGTGGACAAAGAGCTCCATTAGAAAGAGATCCATGAAAATTCTGAAGTGGTGGACAAAAAGCTCCATCAGAAAGAGGTCCATGAAAATTCTGAAGTGGTGGACAAAGAGCTCCATCAAAAAGAGGTCCATTGGATAACGCAACAACCTTTTGCAACAAAACATTGTGAGACAAATACAAATATGAAAGATTGTCAAAATTTTCAGTTGCAGAATCAGTTAGTGGAAGAAGAAGTCCACGACTTAACCCAACAAGTTTGTGCAATAAAAGCCGATGATCTGACAGAATCAAGACAAACAAATCTACAGAATTCCATGATTAAAAATATCAAAGCTAAAGCAAGGAAGACTACAGAGATATCAGATTATGAGTATAGAGGCAAGAAAGTTAAAGTTGAGAAAGAGAAGGAACACAAAGATGAGACAATTTCAAATAAGTATGTTGTGGGTCAATTGCTACCTTCTGAAGATAAATATAAACTACAAATTCTTTGGAAAGAAAAGTAAACAGAATCAAAGTATAATCTTGCATAAATATTTCAATTTTTCATGTAGTACAAATATATGACATGAAACTGAGAAATACCTCTGTTTTCTAAAAATATTTTGACTTAATTATTAACACATTTTTTATTATTTTATAGTGTTTGTATATGGTTTGGCGCAAGATATGACAATTGTGTGTTTATTAATGATATCAAGAACTTGGTAAAAAGGACAGACATATCCAACTGTGTACGTATAATATTTGTAATATTTTAACACTGAAAAACTTCTCATTAATTTGTTAACATCACTTTTGTGTTTCAATTTGATAGACAATTGATGCATATGCTGAAATTCTTGAAAGAAAACCACAAGCACAGAATTCTGGTGATGGAACAGAGCACAACGGCAAGTCTTTCATACTGTCAAGTCTATATTGGGTAAGGAATAAATGTGCATGTGTCAATTCTATACTTTATCTTCCGTTCAATTTTGGTTTCAAAGTAAATTTTTTGTTTTTGCTATCATTGTTGTGAATGTTCTCAAATTTTGATTTTGGTATCATTGCTGGGAATATACTCAGATTTCAAAACAATTTGAGTGATAAATCGTAGTTAATCATGTTTTGTTGCTTTTCATCGACATTTGAATATTGAGTTCGTACCATTACTGTGAATATTCACATATTTTTTTTTTTATAAAAAACAGCCATTATTGAAGAAGAAAACTTCAGAACAAAGGAAAAATATTTGGAAAAATACTTTGCAAAAATCCCTCCCATGTAGATATATCCATATCCCCATCCACAATTTCAATCATTGGACATTACTTGTTATCGACAAACACTTAGAGACTTGGAAACATTTTAACGCTTTGAGACCAAGAAAAGAAAAGGACAAGCACTACAACGTTGCAAATCAACTGGTAAGAACAATTTCAGATTACCATTACAATAATCAGATGTAAATCATTACATACTTTATATTGATATTTTTTACAGCAAAAAATCATCCATCAATACATGAAGGATACACCTTGTCAAGCAAAAAAGCATGAAATCCTGATGTTAAGATTGAATCAGTTAAAGACAGCCCTCAACAAGAAGCAATGACGTATGTTAATTTATTCTAATTAACAAATTTTAATATATTTTTCAAAAAATTTTGTTTTTTCCCTAACTGTGTCAAAAATGATTTCTGTAGAAATGACTGTAGAATTATTGTTTGCTACATCATAAGACAATATATGAGGCATCAACCAATTCCAAACACATTACCACCAGGCACATCCACAAGACTCAGAGCAGACATGGTACATGAGTTCCTCAGTGATCCACAAAGATCAATCAAAGTCAAGTAGAGTCAAGATTGCAACATTCAATGAAATCTTTTTTGATGTGTAACTCAATGAACTCTTTTTTGTAACACTCTGATACAATGACTAATGTTTTTGTTAATAGTTCCAAGCATATTGCCTAACAAACATATTACAATTTCTATGATGTGTAATGGAATATTTTGTCATACTCTCAAAGATATATGCACCCGAGCTTTGTTGATGTTTTTGTCCATATTCTCAGTTTCTATTATCCTGTTCCTCACACTACTATATGGGAAAAGTGAAAATAGTATTACATGTGAAAATAGTGGACACAAGACTTTACTGTATCACAATTAGTGCTTTGTTGATGTTTTTTTGTTGCCTCATAATATTATCACAATCACTTATTTTCAAACTTTAAAACTGAGAATATTTTCAGTTTTATACAGATCACTCAATTTTCAAACAACAATATTATCATAATCACTTATTTGCTGCATTACAATATTATGACAATTTGAAAAACTAAAATTCAAAACAAAGAATATTTTCACTTTCAGTCCACTGTTACTTTAATCAAAATATAGAGCATTGACCACATCTATTTAGAATATTAATTCACATTCATTCAATTGATCACATTTATAACTAGTTCCAATTCATAACAAGAGCCTCACACTATTATCACAAAATTAGCTATTTTGAACTAAAAACTTAAACTGAGAATATGTTCACTTTGTATACAGTATTCACATAATCTTCAAAACAAACATTTAACAGTCAAGTTTATTTCTGAAAGCCAACCAAACAATATTATCACAAACAATTTCAAAATTAAAATTTGAAACTAAGAATATTTTCACTTTCAATTCAATGTCACTTTATTCAAAACATAGAAGATTATTACTCAGCGCTCAACAGTACAAACTGCTACTTCAAGAAATTTATGAATACGAAATTTTTATGATCACAAAGCAGCTACAAAAAATCACAAAGCCTCCTTACACGATTTCTTATTGTGATTGCCAACCTTCCCACATCTACTACAAGTAATTTGCTTTACTTTCTCACCATTCGAACGAATCCTCTTCTTATTTGGCCTTCCTGGTTGCTTCTTAGACAAAGGAGGAAGAACAACTTCACTATCACCATCAACATTACAATCGGGTTTCCAAATTAAAGGAACATGATATATGGGAAAAGAATAGGACTCTCGATAACTTTGAACATAGAAGTATTGATCAACAAATAAACTCAAATCATGTCCACTCTTTTGTATAGCACCAACTACATGTGCACATGGAAACCCTTTCAACTGCCACTCGCTACAAGAACATATTCGTCTACTAATGTCAACTGAAACAGATGGATGTGAATGCACCTCATAGACATCATTTCCAGATGAACTAACAATCCATGGCCTTGAAGTATTAAAACTATCATGCAACTTGGACTCCATTTTAAGGCATATCAAACCATTCCATTTATTAACAAGTTCCCTCCTCTTAGCAATTTTCCTCATCAACTTAATTCTTACACTATCAATCAACTTTGTGATAGGCAAGTGGCATTCCTTTCGTATCCACGAATTGAAAGATTCAGTTACATTTGACCACATCTCTCCAAAGCGTTGCCCTCGAAAATATGCATTACTCCAATGATCATATGGTATGTCATCTAAAAACTTTTTAAATCTTGACCCACCTTCAATCTTTAACTCAACCAAACATTGATAAAATGTTTCTTCAGTTGGAGCATATGCACATTTCCCAAACAGAGTGATCAGCTTTTCTTTCAATCCATGAAACATACCACACAAATGATGCCTCAAGTTCATCTTCAAATGATATAAACAATAAGCATGAAAAGTCATTGGGAAAACCTTTGGCAACACTTCAGCTAATCCAAGGTTATGATCTGACACAAATGTAATATTTCGTTCTGGTGAAACAATTCTACTCAAATGCTCCAAAAACCAACTCCAGTTATCTTGATTCTCTGAGCCAACAACTGCAAAACAAACAGGAAAGAACCCTGCATGTACAAAACAGAAAAAATGAAAATATTCTATTATTCTTAGAAAATGGTAACACTTTAACATTCAAAATATCAAACACTAAAATGAATAACTGAAAAAATAAAAAAGTGCATATACAACAACAATATTATGTAAAATTTAAAACATTCAATCATATTTCTAAACTGAGAACTTTCTCAATTTCAGAACAAAGAAAACAGATTTCTTATGTACCTTGATTTCCATCTTTTCCTGTAGCAGCAAGTAAATTTCCTCTAAATCTTCCCTTCAAAAATGTGCCATCAAGGAAGAAGAGAGGTCGACAATAATCAAATCCACTAACGGAACCATGAAAAGAAACAAATAATCTCTTAAACCGTTTAGTAGTATCGTCACACTCAAACTCAATGTAACTCCCTAGATTGCAACTCTTTGCAACATCCACATACCATCTTAACTGGTCAAATGACATTAAGTAGTCTCCAAAAATCTCACCTTTTACTTTCTCTACCCCCAACCAAGCTTGACGATAACTAACTCTCAGTCCATACCCCAACTTAAAATCCCGAACAACATGAACTGGACGTGTCAATGGATTATCACGAACACCTTCAACAATCAAATCAGTAACTAAATCAGAACTCATACGAGAATGATTCATCGTGCGTACTTCAGCACCACATGTGTGGACATTGTTCAACTTCCTTATATAAAAGAACCCATTAGCATTCTCCACTCTACCATGAACATTCCACATACAACCTTTTGTCTCTCTAAACAAATATTGTACGATAACACAAACTTTATCATTCTGAACAAATGTGAACTCAAATCCACACTCAATAGAAAACTTCGACAATGCATTACGAAATTCAACAATTCCACCTTCAAATTTCTGTCCTACATGTGTAATACTAACTGCCCAACCAGCAGACAACAGTATTTTTTTCTTGTGTCGACAAAATGATGATAACATATCAACCTCTTCTTCAACCTCTAACCTCGAATTCCTTTTGGAAGATGTAGATGCTCTGTTTGACAAGTTCACAAACTTACTGCTGTCATGAGACAATGCAATATCACAAACTTCAAGATCCAACATTGACTCTCTTTCTTCATAATCCAATCTTTTGTTGAGATAACCACAGTCAATGGTTGAGTCTTTTACTCTCACAACAACATCAATACATTTTGAATCAAAATGCACAACTAATGCCAACAACAAATCTAACTCTTCATTGTTGTCCAACGTACAATTAAGATGTCCAGGCAATGAGAAAGATAGACAAATATTATCAGATTGCAAATTATCCTATTTCAAACATAACTTCTCAACCAACTGATCATATGTAACATTTTGATCAATCTTAATTGCAAATGTGCAACCATTATACTTGCACAACAAAAAAATAGGCGCACTCGTACAACCTTCACTCATCTTTCAATCTAAACAAGAAAAAACGATCGCATCAATAAAAACCAAAACAAATACTTCATAACAATACTAAGAACTTTCTCAGTTTTCACAAATACTTCATAACAGTAAACACCAGAACAAAAAACTTCATAACAATACAAATACTTTACAAATCACGTTTTCAATTCATAAAATAAATAACTAAACCGAGAAATCATCCAGCAAATCACGTCTTCAATTCGTAAAAACAAAATTATTCAACATAATCTCATAAATAAATTCAATCAAAACTAAAGAAAATTCTAAAAAAACATAATACACAAAATCGAAACAATACATACTTGTAAACCAGATCGAAGATCAAATATCCAGCAAATCAATTCTCCAATTTATAAATCGAAATCGCACATAACAAACTCCAACAGATTTCAACTCAAAAAGCAAACCAAACTAAGAAATCCTTCAAGATCTTTTCCTATTCGAATCAAAATCGAGAAATCAATTACGTATAATAACGAACCAAAGCAATAAATCCTTCAAGATCGTTCACAATTCGAATCTTCAGCTACTTCCATAATTGATTTGTTAACTGATTTCTTTTTTCTTTCTAGTAAATAATGTGAATGGAATTTTATATACAGTTGTTTATGTTAAAGGGCAAACACGTCTTTTTACTTACAAATGGGACTTATTGATTCAAATTTTTTTTTATAGGACCTAAGCTACAACCAAACATGTTGATAAGACATTTAGGTAATTATCTCTAATGAATAAGAGCAACTCCAAGACGACTGAGCAAAATGCCTTCTAAAAATACACAGAAAAGTACAAAATTTATTAGGGATTGCTATTCATTTTTTTTTTATAATCACTCCAAATTTTGTCAATTAGTATGCATTGAAGATTGTGTCATGTAATTTTTCATGCTAAAAACAAAATATGAAGTGTAATTATAAAAAAGAGTGCGAATAGCAATCTCCTTTTATTTTGTCAAACTAGCTAGTCCAACTTTTTTATTTTAATTAATCAATCAAATTAACTTAATTAATTTAAATAAAAAATACTATAAACATAAATAAAAAATGTGTGAGTGAAAATCTAACCACACTGCAATCTTAGTATCCAGCTGGAGAGTACCGGCAGAATAGATGGCACCTGACTAACCTGCAACAGAAAGAGAAGACTCCGGTGGTGGTTCGCCACCCGGGGGTACTCCGACAATCAAGTCAGTACTCAATATCTCTCAAAGATAATCAATAGTGCTTAACTCACTAGACAGAATATAAATTGCGTACCTTAGACCCATGGGGGTGCCTCTCTTTTATAGTTACCTCAATCCTAATCCCAATAGAAGCCTGACTTCTATGGATTCCTGTTCAGTACTTACTTTGAACTCCTCAAGAGATAAAGATAAACTTTCTAAGAGCTTTATCCTTATCTTGGCTAAGTCTCTTCTTTATTCTAGGACTCTTGTCCCTTATCTCTTATCCACTTATCTCGGATTCTGATATCTTCGGAGATAACCTCGGCCTAACCGAGATGACTTCGGCATATCGACCAGGACATGTGGCACCTCGGCTGACACGTCGGCGTCACCTTGCCACGTGTTGGTACTCAAAAATATATCCCTACAATTGCCCCTAAGTTCTATTACCTCGACATTCTGAGGTGATGGAACCTATATCGGTACCTCATGCTCGCACATCGGTTTAATCCAAGATCATTATCGTAGGCCGACATGTCTTTTTAAAGATCAAGAATCCCAAGGGCTTCTTTACGCGTATGAGCTGTCATACATCACAATTCAACCGTTTCGCCTATGTGTCCTTGTCTTATTGGATCGTACTTGGCACGTGTTTCGTAATCGTCTCGCATATACGTGTGTCGTCTGACGCTCACGTTGTCCCAGACGCATTAATTTCCCTCTTTTGCCGCCGTTTCAAGTTTTTGACAAAACTTGTTTCCCTCTTCTTCCATTTTTTCACTTTTCATTCGATTCCATTGCTTCTTCTCTCTCTTGCTCTTGAATACGCCATTGTTCCAGACCTCAAGCTCTGCAACTGCCTTCATTCCTCCTTCTGGTAAAGCTTTCGTTATTTTGTTACTTCTGTAACCAGTGTCTAACTTCGGCAATCCTTACACCGGCTTCTTTTCTTCAGTGAGTTTACTGTTCCTTTCGTTTTCAATTCTTTGATGCTTTCTGTTACTTGCTGCCATTACTGCATTTGTTCAAACTTTTAACTTGTGAATCATATATCTAAATGTGTTTTTTTCACGATTTTTCCCTTACCCATATCTTGAACACACGCACTATTTCACCACTTCCCTGTATTTTTGCTACTGCTCTTGGCCCTATACTTCTTGTATTCTTTATGCTCTTGGTAAACCATCTCTGTTCTTGATTCTGAAACTCCGTTCTTGTTTTCTGTTTTTTGTGTCTTTTCCAGATCTGTGCCTTCAATCTTTGTTTTCATAGACTTAGGTTTGGGATTTGTCTATAGAACCCACAATCTAGGGCAAAACTGAAACATCCTTTACAAATTTCTGTACCAGTTCAAACCTAGGTTTTTTGCCGAGGTCCCAATAACCCTTTTTGAAACATCTTCTTTCTGAAATCCAATACCTTTAGTTATCCCGAGATTATGGGTATGTGGAAACATCGGGTAGACACCCCCTCCAAGCTAGAATTTTTTAGGCAAGAGTTTGAAATCCCAGCCGATGTCAATCTGAGGTTGGTTGGGGACGATGAATCCATTATGCCTACAGATAACTCCATGCCCTTCCCTGTGGTTGCTTTTATTGAGTGTGGACTCCGGTTTCCACTTGACCATTTTTTTCGTCAAATCCTTCACTTCTATAAGTTGAACCCAATGCAACTCGCCATCAATTCTTACCGAGTTATTACTGGTACCATAGCTTTAGTCAAACAAGAGAATGCCAGGATTACGCTTGTCGATTTCCAGTACTGTTATACCATGTGTCGCCTTAGAAAAGACACGGACTATGTCTATTATCTCAAGCCGAGATCCACTGAATATAAAATCGTAGCCGACCTCCCAGACTCTAACAAGGGAGCTGGAGACGATTACTTCATCGTCTCGGGCAATTGGGAGTTTCAGCCAAACGATGACCTCCATCTTTATCCCTTAAGCCAAACAGTTTTCGGGGAAGGAGCTGGTAAGGGCCACCCTTCATAAGTTTTCTTATCTTCTTGCAGAAAGTTTTCAATATTCTGTTCTAATGTCTGTGTTGTTCTATCTTTGCAGTTCTTCCTCAGCCTCCAAAGAACTTTCGCCAATCCTTCCTCTCCAGCAAGGATTTGAAGAAGCTACTGAACCTTCTGGTTCACAAACGGAAGGCGCCTTTGCTTCTCAACTTTATCCCAACCTATAAGTTAGCTCTGCCTGACGTCCCTAAGAGGAAGAAGAAAAGTCTTTCTCCACCTTCTGCCACAACTCTACAGACTGCGTTCACATCTCGGACAAATCAAGGGTCAACTTCCGATCCAGCTGATCAGTCATCAACCTCGGCTCCATACTTGATTCCAATATCACAACGCCGTCATCGATGCCGAATAGTTTATTCTTCCGAGATGGGTCGTCCAAAACCAGTTGCCAAAGATCTTCCGGCCAGCATTCCAACTGACGTTGACGCTTAGCCAGTTCCAACCCAGCCTCCAAAGCCAAAAAGGATAAAAAAGGCTCAACCAAAGGCTAAGGTAACTCAGACTGAATCTGTGGATACTTTGTCAATCTCCAAGTTGGCTGAGAGTGACAAATCTCAACCCTCTACTGGGAAGAGGCGCTCTGAAGCCCAGCCATCAGAGTCCCTAAAATCGAAAAAGCCGAGGTCATCTTCTGCGACCACCTCGGGGTCTAAAAAGAATGATATCCCCTGGGCTCCAAAAATTACTCTGGAAGATAAGCCAGTCATGGCTAACGACAGTGCTGATGACATCAAGATTGGCGTAGCCCTCAGTACTGCTCTGCTCCTCCTCGGCGATCTTAATCGAAACGCCAAGATAAGCGAGTACGAAAACTACGCTTTAATGCTTCAACGTTCTGTTCAAGTAAGTGTCTTTCATTTGGCACATTTTTCCTTCTTTCTCATACTTAGAAATTTTCTAATAACTTTTGTTTTATTCAATTTCAGGCCATCCAGCATGCCCATTCTTTCTCTGTTCAATCTTTAGAAAATCGAGAGAAGTTGGCCAAGATGAAGAAGGAGTTCTCTGCTCTTTAAAAAACCAACAAGAGTTTACAATCAAAGATGAAAAAGTTGGAGGACCAAGCCGAGGCTGCAATTAAAGCCCAAACTAATGCCGAAGAGAAGGCTGAATCTGCTGAAGCTATCAGAAAGGTTTCTGAGTCTCAAAGAAAAGAGGCCGAGGAGAAGATGGCCCAAGCCGAAAAAGAGCTTCAAGAAGCCTTGGCCACCAAAGAGGCTGAAATAAAAGACGCCGACGAGAAGGCATATGCTCAAGGTATGGCCGACGTCACGGAGGCTTATGAAATTCAAGTGAAGCAGGCATGCAACAAGAGTTTCACCCTTGGTTGGATGTCTTTTCTAAAGAAGCTTAATGTCCCCAAGGACTCGCCCTTCAGAAATGCCGACCTCATTCCTCTTCCATGCCCTCCAGCCCTAACTCCAACTCTAGCTCAATCTGGCAGTGACTCTGAATCTGAGGAGGAGATTTTGGTAAGGAAGCCAAAAGATGCTACTGGGGTCAAGTCCCCTCCTCAGAGTGAACAAGTCCTAGACTTGACTCAAGATGAGGAAGGTGATGAGGTTCCCAGAGACGCTGCTCCTGAGAAGGCATTAGCCGACGTCGCCATTACCGATAAGAGCCTTGACGAAAATTTACAAGAAATTGATGCTGAGCTTGCGGCAGAAAAGGCGGCCGAGGTGGCTTCTCAACAGCCTTCCGAGGTTCAAACCCAGCCTGTTGCTGATGCTGAGGAATCTTAATTTCGATGTTTTTTTCTTTTGTACTCTGTTTTTCTTTATTTTTGAAACAATGTAAGCCCTCCGTATGACCGATCTGCCCTCTCTTTGTTGAATCTGAGCTTGCGGCAGAAAAGGCGGCCGAGGTGGCTTCTCAACAGCCTTCCGAGGTTCAAACCCAGCCTGTTGCTGATGCTGAGGAATCTTAATTTCGATGTTTTTTTCTTTTGTACTCTGTTTTTCTTTATTTTTGAAACAATGTAAGCCCTCCGTATGACTGAGTGCCCTCTCTTTGTTGAATGCTAATGCAACTTTTCTTCACTGAGTGCTTGTACTTTCGTCTTCTTTTTGACTGTTTTTGCGTGATTCTATACTTAGAATATTCTGCATGTCTTTAACATAGTCTTCCTTCTTTGTGCAATCTTCTCGGGGTGACACACCTCAGATAAACAAACTTCTCGGTTTAACTTAACTTGTAAACTTTTAACAAGTGTTAAACAATGATTTTGGTTTAACTTCAACTTGTAAATTGTCCACAAATTTCAACAAGTGTTAAACAATGATTTCGATTTAACTTTAACTTGTAAATTGTCCACAAATTTCAACAAGTGTTAAACAATGATTTCAGTTTAACTTCAACTTGTAAATTGTCCACAAATTTCAACAAGTGTTAAACATATTCTTCTTCTTTCTGCCCACTAATGTGAACCTGAGTTCCACTTGGGTTTTCATTATGCATGTATTCTAGAGACAATGCCAAGTATTTTGAAAAGAGAACCAACTGAATCTTTATTTATTTACTTCGGCAAACGGCAAAGGAACAAAGAAATTCTAATGATAGAAAAATTTCAAATTACAAGTGTTCCAAGGTCTTGGCAACTCTTTGCCCTCATTATCTTCAAGCCAATATATCCTATTACCTAGTACCGAGATGATTCTATAAGGTTCTTCCCAATTTGGGCCAAGCTTGCCCTCTCTGGGATTCTTCTTGTTGCCGACGACTTTTCTTAGGACGAGGTCACTATTCTGAAATTCTCTTGGATTGACCTTTTTGTTATAAGCTTTTGCAAGTTGCTGCTGGTATGCTGCGAGCTGGATTGCAGCTTTCTCTCTTCTTTCTTCTAAAAGATCCAGATCTTGGGCTAAGCGTATATCATTAGTCTCGTTCTCTACCCCCTGGGTTCTGATTCCTGGGATGCCGATCTCCAGCGGAATGACTGCTTCTGTGCCATAAGCCATGACGAAGGGAGATTACCCTGTTGATCTTCTCGGCGTAGTCCGATATGCCCAGAGTACATTGGGCAATTCGTCTACCTACTTGCCTTTTGCTGCCTGCTGCCTCTTCTTTATTCCATCCAGAATTACTTTGTTGGATGCTTCTGTTTGTCCATTGCTTTGTGAAAAGCTTGGGGTTGAAAAGTAGTTCTTGATCTTGAACTTTGCACAGAAGTTCTTGATTAGTTTACTGTCAAATTGAGTTCCATTGTCTGCAACAATTACTCTTGAAATTCCAAACCTGGTGATAATGTTTTTCCAAATGAAGTTCTTCACGTCCACATCTCGAATCTTGGCAAGAGGTTCAGCTTTTATCCATTTTGTGAAGTAGTCCGTTGCTACCAGCAAGTACTTTCTTTGTCCAGTTGTTTGGGGTAATTGCCCAACGAGATCCATGCCCCATTGAGCAAATGGCCAAGGACTGGATACAGGGTTTAGGTTAACAACTGGCTGATGTATCAAAGGTGCAAACCTTTGGCATTGTTCACACTGCTTCACGTAGGTTTCTGCATCTTTTTACATGTAAGGCCACCAGTACCCCTGGGTGATGGCCCGATGAGCGAGTGATCTGCCTCCGGCGTGGCTTCTACAGATTCCTTCATGTATTTCATATAAAAAATCTTCGACTTGTAAAGGGTGTACGCACCTTAAAAGGGGTCCAGTGAAGGACCTTCTGTAGAAATGTCCTTCCGCTGTCAGACTGAATTTTGCCGACTTCAATCTGATCTTGTGTGCCTCCTTGCGGTCATCTGGCAGCTTTCCTTCTTTTAAGAACGCAACGATTGCGTCCATCCAGCTTGGTCCTATGTCTACACATATTGCTTCACGCTCTGTGGTTACTGGTTCAATGCTCGGGCCCGACAGGTAGTCAATCATTATTGTCCTTGCTTTTTCAGGTTGTACTGCACTAGCTAGGTTGGCCAACGCATCAGCGTGGCTATTATTATCTCGGCTTACCTGAAGTAGTCGGCAGTTCTGAAACAAGGTTGACAGTCTGATGACTTCCTTTGCGTAGGCCGACATTCGTTCATCTCGGACTGCAAATTCGCCTGTTGTCTGGTTAACTATCAGTTGTGAATCACAAAAAACTATTACCTCATCTACTTGCACTGCTGCTGCCAGCTTCAGTCTTGCAATGAGTGCTTCATACTCTGCTTCATTGTTTGAGGCCTTGAACCCCAAACGAATTGACTGTTCTAGTACCTGCCCATCTGGGGATATCAATACTACTCCTGCCCCTGCTCCCTGTCGGTTTGAACTCCCATCAACGAACAGTCGAAAGGAGTCACCGATGTAGATGCTGCAAGGTCTGAGTTTTTCTTCTTTCTTTTGTTCTTTCGCCTTTGCTTGAGCTTCTCCTTGTTTGGTTGGACATCGTTTATCCTGGCTCAATGGAGCCTGACGTTCGATGGATTCTAGCGTGAACTCGGCCACAAAGTCGGCCAGAACCTGGCCTTTAATTGCTGTCCTTGGCCTGTACTCCAGGTCATACTGGCCTAGAGTGACTGCCCACCTGGCTATTCTTCCTGTCAGGTCTCCTTGTTGCAGTAAGGACTTTAAGGGGTGCTCTGTTAGCACCACAATTTTATAGGTTTGGAAGTAGTGGTTCAACTTCTTTGAAGCCATTACTAAAGCTAGTGCTAATTTCTCTAAGGGTAAATACCTTGTTTCTGCATCGGCTAGAATTTTTCTTACATAGTAAACAGCCCTTTGCTCCCCTTTTTCTTCTCGGATTAGTACTGCACTTATCGCATGTTCTGAAATGGCTAAGTACAGGAACAGCTCCTCCCCAAGTTCTGAATTTGAAAGAACTGGAGTTGTGGTCAGGTATTTTTTCAGGTCGGCCAAAGCGGCTTCGCATTCTTCGGTCCACAGGAAGTCTGTGGCTTTTTGCAGCAAGTTGAAGAAAGGTCTGCACTTATCTGAACTTCTACTGATGAATCTGTTCAGGGCTGCAGCCTTTCCAGTTAGCATCTACACCTGTTTTGCCGACGTCGGACTCTTCAACTCTAGGATGGCCTTGATTTGGTCTGGGCTGGCCTCGATGCCCCTTCTGGTCACCAGGTATCCTAGAAACTTACCAGATCCAACTCCAAATGCACGCTTTGATGCATTGAGTCGGAGCCGATATGTTTTGAGGATTTCAAAGACTGCTTTTAGATCGGCGAGATGACCCTCAGGCTCCTTGATCTTAACGACTATGTCGTCGATGTAGACTTCTACTGTTCGACCAATCAGGTGTTTGAACATTTTGGTTACCAGCCTTTGATAAGTTGCTCCTGCGTTTTTCAACCCGAAAGGCATTATTCTGTAACAGTACAGGCCTTTTCGGGTGATGAACGCGATCTTCTCTTCGTCTAGGGAGTACATGGCATCTGGTGGTACCCCCTGTAGGCGTTTAGGAAGCTCATTCTTTCATGCCCTGAAGTGGCATTTACTAGCTGGTCAATCTTGGGTAGAGGAAAGCTGTCTTTGGGACAGGCTTTGTTGAGGCTGGTGAAATCTACGCAGACTCTCCATTTACCGTTCTTCTTCTTTACCACCACTGTATTGGATAGCCATGTCGGGTAGTGTACTTCTCTAATGGCCCTGGCCTCCAGAAGTCTGTCTACTTCTTCTTCTACTGCTTCGACGTGCATCAACGTCGGTCTTCTGGCTCGTTGAATTACAGGTTTGGCCGACCTGTCAACATTCAGTTTGTGGCAAGGGACCTCGGGGTTAATGCCAGGCATTTCGTAAGGTGTCCAAGCGAACACTTTAATATTTGTTCTCAAAAAAGCTTCTAATTCTTTTTCCTCTTCTTCGGCTAAGCCTGAGCCGAGAAGAAAGAAGCGTTCTTCATCCCCATCCTGGGCGAGAATTTTCTTCAGTGCCTCTTCGCTCTTCTCGGCTGACTCCTTAACGACGTCTTCTAGGACTTCCAAGTCCTCATCTTCAATTTCTGCCTTTTCTGGCTCTCGTATGCTGCAGGTAGATTTCATTGCTGCCATGGAGTAATTCTTCGCCTGCAGCTGATCGCCTTTGACTTCTTCTATCCCATGCTCTGTTGGGAATCGCAATAGTTGATGCAATGTTGAGGGAACTGCCCCTATTGCATGCAACCATGGCCTTCCCAAGATGATGTTGTAAGGGGCGGGTGTGTCGATGATGGTGAATTCTGTCTTAATCTTCCTAGTGCCAGCCTGCACCTCCAAGCTTACTGTTCCCAGTGGCCATGTTGGCGTTCCATTGAACCCCACCATTGGACTATTGGATTGTTCCATATCATCTGGGTGAAGGCCGAGCTCCTTATAACATCGGACGTACATGATGTCACAGAAGCTGCTTTAGTCAATCAGGATGCGTTTCACTTGGTACTCCCCAACCTAGAGGGATACTACCAAGGCATCATTATGCGGATGTTGGATCATCTCTAGGTCGGCTTCAGTAAAGGTTATCATTGGTTCCTGGAACTCTTTTGCCCGATGTCTTTTCTCCCCGACTTGGTAGACATGTTGTAGGTGTTTTACCTTCTGGGTCTCTCCTCGGATTTCATTTTCGTTGACCTTTGAATGGATTACATTGATTACCCGAGGTCCTCTTGCCTGCGACTGCTATGCTGGGGGAGGTGGGGCTACTGGTGCCTGAGGCAACCTTGCCCGTTCTTCCCTTGTCCTGGTCTCATCGACAAGGTCTCTCAGATGTCCTTGTCTCACTGGGTCTTCCAAATGTGTTTTCAGGGCTCTACAACCCTGAGTTATATCTTCATTGTGGTAGGCACAATGTCTGCCAATGTTTCTTCCCATGAACTCTCTTGGAGTCCTCTCTGGCATTCTGAAATAGGGCTGGTTCCGAATTTGATCTAGGACTTTGTAAATTGGGATTCGGAACACAGTTGTTACTACCTGTGTGGCTCTCAGTTCTGCTTCTTGTTTGCTCGATCCATTGTTACCTCGGCCTCAGTTCAGCGAGCCGTTTCCTTTCTCTTGTTTCATCTCCTTAGCCCCCGACGTGTCTTCTTTGGCTCTGGCATACTTCTCGATTCTTGCCATGAGCTCTTCCATACTTTTTGACAATGTCTTTGCCAAAGACTTTCGTAGTGGACAGTTGTCTTTCAGGCCGTTCTTGAAAGATACGACTGCCACCTCTTGATTACATTCGGGTATTCGATTGAACACCTCATAGTATCTTTTTGCATAGGCCCTAAGGTCTTCATCCTTGTTGATCTTCAAAGCCATCAAAGCGTCCACCCTTATTGGCTGCAACTTGTTTGTCACGAACCTAGACACAAACATCTCGGCCAGACCTTCCCAAATCCTCACGCTTCCTTTTGGTAATTTGTGGAACCAATCTGATGCAATCTCCCCGAAGGATGAGGGAAACACTTTGCAGAGCAACGGCTCGTTTCTATTATACAATGCCATTGAGTTCAAATATAGTCCAACATGGAAGTTGGGGTCTGACTTACCATCGTATATTTGAAACCTCGGCATACTGAATCTCTTGGGTGTCCAATTCCACCGAGAATGGTGTCCTCGGCTTATCTAGGGAGGTTACCTCGACTTCGGCATTCTGTTGCTTCCTCTTGAGGTAATCTCTTAAGCCTTATTTGCTCCGCCTAGGAGCTCGGCTATCTTTTGACTTCAATCTTTTTGGTATACTACTCTCGACCTCGTGGTGAGCCCTTTTCGACCCTTCTCCATGAGTTGTGTCGAAGCACAGCGCCTGCCCCTAAACATGCCAATGTCCTTTGGGGTTTGCCTCCTTTGTGCGATGCGTCCTCCATGATTCTTTTCTGCCCTCCCTTCTAGGTATTAGCCGCTGGGATCGGCGTGTCGTGCAGTGGGAACGGTGGCTGCATGACGTTATTTTGCATCATGAAATTGACGACCGACTGCAAGTTTGCCAGTTTGTTTGCTATCTCTTTTACCTCTTCGTCGCTCCGTAGGCACCTATCCTTCCAAACCTGGAGGTCGTCCTCGTTGTAGTATTCACTTCGATCTGGTTTTTTTGGCGCGTCGCCAGTCTGGCTGACGTTTTTCGCTCCGTGATTCTGGTCACGAGTTTCTGCATTGCATTCGTCTCTTGTGATATCAAGATCAATTGGTCTCCCACTCCCAGCAGGAGTGTCGTCCCCAACCTTTTCTTTCTGTCCGTTACTGGCCATCTATTTTACTTTTGTTTCCACAGACGGCGCCAAATTGTGAGTGAAAATCTGACCACACTGCAATCTTAGTATCCAGCTGGAGAGCACCGACAGAATAGATAGCACCTGACTAACCTGCAACAGAAAGAGAAGACTCCGGTGGTGGTTCGCCACCCAGGGGTACTCCGACGATCAAGTCAGTACTCAATATCTCTCAAAGATAATTAATAGTGCTTAACTCACTAGACAGAATATAAATTGCGTACCTTAGACCCATGGTGGTGCCTTTCTTTTATAGTTACCTCAATCATAATCCCAATAGAAGCTTGACTTCTATGGATTCCTGTTCAATACTTACTTTAGACTTCTCAAGAGATAAAGATAAACTTTTTAAGAGCTTTATCCTTATCTTGGTTAAGTCTCTTCTTTATTCTAGGACTCTTGTCCCTTATCTCTTATTCGCTTATCTCGGATTCCGATATCTTCGGAGATAACCTCGGCCTAACCGAGATCACTTCGGCATATCGACCAGGACACGTTGCACCTCGACTGACACGTCGGCGTCACCTTGTCACGTGTTAGTAATCAATAGTGCTTAACTCACTAGACAGAATATAAATTGCGTACCTTAGACCCATGGGGGTGCCTTTCTTTTATAGTTACCTCAATCCTAATCTCAATAGAAGCCTGACTTTTATGGATTCCTGTTCAGTACTTACTTTGGACTCCTCAAGAGATAAAGATAAACTTTCTGAGAACTTTATCCTTATCTTGACTAAGTCTCTGCTTTATTCTAGGACTCTTGTCCTTTATCTCTTATTCGCTTATCTCAGATTCCGATATCTTCAGAGATAACCTCGGCCTAACCGAGATGACTTCGGCATATTGACCAAGACACGTGGCACCTCGACTAACACGTCGGCGTCACCTTGCCACGTGTTGGTACTCAAAAATATATCCCCACAAAAAATATAATCTTTCTATAATATGTTTATACACCTAGTATTGACATAACATTTATAAATATTTATTTTTTTAAATATATAATTAAATTATTTTTAAAATAATATTTTTATATGACCAAAATTTTAGAAATAACAATAGACTGGAACAAATAGAAATGCAACAAAAATTGAGAAAACAAGCAGAGATGAAAACCTTAAAGCAGCGTAAAAACTCTTTTGCCTAGCAATGGAGGCTAGTTAGATGTGGAGAGTGAAATAAAAATGAACAAAATGCCAATTGTGATGCAAAGCCTGTTGAAAGAAGAAAAAACCAGTTTCACTAGCAAAAATGCCTCATGTGGCCTTTTTGCCTTATCCCTTGGAGATGATTACCAAATGATTGCATTGATAAAAAATAAAATCTAAAATCCAAACAAAACCTTTACTTTGCAAAACGACTTCATACTGACCCAGTTTGGTGGATTAAAAGCTGATAATCAAAAAGCAGAAGTTAAAAGCATCTCTACTCCAGTTTTTAAATAATCAGTTTTTTTCAACTTATTTAAATTATTTTTGCCTAATAAACTATAAACAGAAACTGCACCAAATAGTCTGACACAGATTTCCAAATTAAAATAAGCTATAATTATTCCAAAAAAGCAATAACAAACAGTTCCACGATTCCAACAAACAATTTATACCAACTTATTTTTAAGCAAGTTTCCCAACTCTTCCTGCTCCATTTTCTACCTTATCTCTTCTCCCCTGTACCAAGTCCAGGAAAACCCTTGGTGGTTGTCATGTCACACTTAAAATTAGTTGAAGTCAATTCCACATTAAACCCTAAAAATATTTCTTATCCTAAAGACCTAAAATAGCAAATGAAGAATTGCTCTTGCAAGCTGTAAAAACAAATAATTCTTCCCTCAACTTGGTTCATGGCACCATCTATTGCTGTTCATGTCATCTATGGCCATCCATTCCTTCCAAAGTTCATCGAAGAACTTTGCGTCGAGCATGAACTTGCTGCAAGAAAGCATATAGCAGGAATCAATCAATATTAAGAGATTCAATTCACATTACTATTCTGCTGCATGAATGCAATAGATCATATTTTATAGACAATAATAATAATAATCCAATGGACATGTGGCACAGGAAAGAGTTATCAATCATAGGGGGTTAATGGCATAACAGAGAAATGGGACCTCCAGAGTTGAGACCGATCATTCAAATAGATGGGGGCAAACTTATGAGCTCGGATATTAATGAACTCCATAGAAGTGTTATTTATCGTAACAAGATTCTTACTAATGATAATCTATTACCAACAAGTAGATATACAACAGGAGAATTAGTAATGTGCTAGGAGAAATTGGTACGAGGAGTCGTGGATACACTTCTTGACAATGAAATCCACAGAAACTATGAGAGATGGTCTTAATAAAATTTACAAGTCATTTTTAGATGTAATTGAATGCAAAGAGAGAAGATTTCGTCAGACTCTGCTTGGCAAACAGGTCGATTACTTGCAGTGTTTCAAATGACTTTGATAGAACAAAGGAAGGGAAATGTGCAATCATGGGGCAAAGAGCCATAGCTTACATGTACAAACAGCTATATAAAGACAAATAAAGATGGAGATGACAGAGAACAAAGTCCCATTCCCCTTCACACATCACAACAAACTAGCACAAACTGTTTTTGGTTTCTAGCAATTCAGTTGTTTCCAGTGTTTCATTCCCTTTTTGGTTAACCAATTTCCAGCGCTTTCAATTTCAGCAATGGCAATCTCTAGTTTTCATCGGTTTTTTGCACTTCACTTTCTACCTAAACTTTATTTTCTCATGTGTATTGTCCAAATTTAGTCCTGGCACACCCGCAGAGTCTACCTTGGCCAGGTGTTCACCAAAAATTGATATGGAATTCATGGAGCTACTTGTTTTTTCCAAAAACACCATAATGACTAATTTATTTCCTCAGCCCTAATCCAATTAGATATAAGGAAGGAGGTAAAGGCAAAGCCACGATTCATCTGGTGAATATAGAAGCCAATTTTAGATATTAAACAATCTAGCCAAAATTATTGGGATTCCCAATCTGCATCATAATATATCATCAGCGAAGCTAGCACTATTTAATGAAAATTTTCTCACTCCTGAGATAATTTAGGATATACAATTGTTAAAAAGTATGAGTCCAATTCGCCTCAACTGTTCTGCTTGAATTTGTTGATGGTGACAGTAATCCCTCATCAACACAATAAGAAATTAAAAAAAAAATAATCCCTCATTTTACTCATAAGCAGTTGAGATTTTGCTAACCAATATTTTTCTAGTATTAGTATTCTACATGTTTATATGATGTCTACACTGCAAATCTTTTAAGCAATTCCATCCAATCAAACTAATATGCCCAATTATTGGCAAAAAGTTTGCCTATAATAATCCAAACGTGGCACATAAACGGGCCGTCCTTCTAGAATGCTGGCTCCACCTGATCACATATACTTGAGTTGCAAACAGAATTTTATACCCAAAAGCAAAATCATGGCAAGGTGAAGTTGCTGAAATTAGTTTATGGAAATGAGAATAAAACAGAAGCAATAAAGCGTTTCAGTCCAAGAGACACGAGAACTTACAACATAATTTAGCAGTCCATCCACCCCATTTGCAATAAGACAATGCTATGATTAGTATCATTCTTCATGATACGGTGGCGTTGACTGGACACACAGTTCAGTCTCATCATCCCCTTCATCTTCGTCATCATCTGCATCTACCCAGTTAATAGGATGGTGTTGTGATAAACCATTGCTGACATTTTCTGCCCTTTCTGTGCAAAGTAAAAGGGCATCAGTTATTGCAAGACTAACTGCAATTAAAAGATCAAACCAAACAAATGAGCATTTTGAATAACCTCGAGGGTCTTGTGCACGATCAGTTTCCATGGGATGGCAGCTACTACATTCAGTCAAGAGAATTACTTCTCATTCTTTACAGGTAGAACTACGCAGTTGATTAGAATACATATCAGGATTCTTACAAACAGGCTATTCTGACTTCTTAAATGAAGTCTTTGGAACGTACAGTGCAGTTAAAATTAGACGGCTCATGACACTTCCATTGTGGAGGGACCTTTTGGGTTAGAGCTTAAAGGGACAAACCTGTGAGGCCAGCTGTTGGGTTGGGCCATAGCGGACAATACTTCTAGATGGGGGTTGGGTCATGCATCTAACATGGTATTAGAGCCAGGGTTGTGCTTGCGCTATGGAAGGTAAGTTGGCCTCCCGCATTGGTTGTGGACAATGCCCAGGATGGACTTACAAGATGGTGCAAGACACATTCATTGTGGATGGAGGTGCCTTTTGGATTGAACCCCAAAGAGACAAACTTATGGGGACAACTGTTGGGCTGTGCTAGGCAGACAATATTTCACATGGGGTTGAGTTGCGCATCTAGATGCTTTGGGATTAACCTTGGTCTTAACTTCTTGAGCTCAACAGAGAGCCACAGAGCCCACATATTTAAAGAACTCCACTTTGCTATCTTTAGAAACATGAAAAGTGAAAGCAAATGAAGTTAATACTTGTCAAGTATCTGGAGGACCTCTCGCCTTAACTAGTGCCTTGCTTGTAAGGTATCAACACTCTTGTGAAGTTTAATCCTTCCAGCAAAAACATCACAAAACATACAATTGTAAAAGTTCTACATTCCTGGACAGAGGCTTGCCTGTAAGACTCAAGACACTTGAGGAAAAAAAAAAATTAGGATACGAATTAGGAACACCTGCCACATTTCCCACGGCAGACCCAGCCCTAGAAATATGCATTGTGCTAATTCTCTGAATGTCCCTCTCTTTGTCAACGTTTGGATTTCTGTCCCCTTCAACGCCATTATAACTTTTGGCCCCACTTCCTGTTTGAAGTAGGAGTTAGAAGAGTCAAGGATGGATAATATTATGTCACCATTTAAACATTGATAAAAATTATAATATAAAAAATAAAAAAGTTACCTGAAAGTTCAGACCAAATTCTGGTGTGATCAGATGGTTGGTCAGAGACATTTGCTCTTGTCCTCTCTTGTGCTTGAGACCCTGTTCCATGTTCAGCCTGACCATGCGCTGTATCAGCTGCAGATGGACGTTCTGAGGGATTTCCTTCATGGAGCTGAGATATAAGCATTGTTGCAAGTACTAGTGTAGCATCAAAGTTTGAAGTGGATCCATCATCTAGACCGAATTTTGGTGCCATTAGGATAGGCCTGTTCACGCAGAATATGTATTTAATTTTTTTTAAGATTTGGAAGCCATAAATCTTGCATCTAAAACAATAAAGAGCAAGTGTGATCCAAAAATAATGGACAAATAATAAACTTCCAATTGTACATTTTAACTGTGCATTTCCTTTATAAGGACATAAAAGTTGATTATGCAGTCCTAACTGACAAGACAACTGATTAGATAATCCTACAATTCATAAGTACAAATGACTGCCTAATCATGTTTTATTTGCATCTTGATTGACCATCCAATCAAAGACAGCAAGTTGAGAAGCTAAAATCATTTCAGAGATGGTTGTACAAATTCCATTCAACTGATCAGATTAACTCTGAATAAATGAAGTGGCTGATTATCTAGATACATAATGTGATACCCATGGATACACAACCAAAACTGCGCATGGATGATCCAACCAGGGTTCCAGACAGTCCATTTGAAGTTTTCTGAGTAAGTCCTCAGTAAGGACAAGGAGACAAGCAAGATGGAAAAGAAAGAAAGAAACATAAACTAAACAAAACAAACAACATCAAGAGATTCAAGACAAATAAAATGACACAGTAGAAGTATCATACTCGCCAGCTTTCTCAAAATATAGGTGGATGTCAACTTCACATCCTTCACAAAAAGAAAGAAATGCCTGAAATTAAGGAATGGACAGAGTAGTTAAGTGGATGCCATAAACATCCTTCATAAAAAAAAAAAAGGAAGAAATGCCTGAAACTCAATAATTTCAGAAAAAAATGCTTCAGCTAAACAAAATGAAGAGATCAAATGACCAAAAAAAACGGACTGGGCAAAATTGGGAAAATAACTATATGCATCAACTATAATCAAGATGGTGATGACAGTGATTAAGTGAATTTTATCTTCATGAAAAAGCAATAAGGCTCATCACTAGGGGTAAGGCTTTGTTGAGAATTGAGACTAAAGATGATTCATGTGATTAATAAAATCAAAGACAATTAGGTTCTACACAGTTTTTAACTATACCTTCAATTCCTTCACACCAAATGTAATATCTACAGGGTCCCCAGTGTGAGTATATTGCACAAACTCTTCAGTTGGATCTATCCATAGCTGAGTGTGTAGCGATGAGTCATTCTCTACAATAAAAAATTTCAAGCATAAAATGTGTGCATAAGATAAGTTCAACACAGTAGGGGGAGAAAAAAAAAAGAAAAAAAGAAAAAAAAAGAAGATAATAACCTAATTTACCTTTGGTGGGGTCTAGGTAACTTCTAAGTTCAACAGCTTTCCCTCCAATTTCACTAGCCGCATCAGATGGCAATGATGTGGGTTCTGTTGCAATGATAGTAATCTCCTGAAGGGTTGACTGGAAATTACCTAGCAACCTGCTCAAATCACGAGGCCTCACCACAAAGCTGCTTGGAAGCTTTCTCCTATCAAGTGAAAGCTGTTGTATGTCAGGTTCAACATTGCAAGTAATCCAATAGGCTTTCCTCATTCCTGCAAGATGTACACCACAGTATTTACAAACAACCTAAATCCAAATAAAAAATCAAGCGGTAGAACAAAAAGACAAAAGAACTGCAACTAACACCTTACCATTATAGCAGTCTAAAGTCCACTGCACTTTTGATGCATCCAGGTTAGGCAATACCACACTTAAATGATCAATGCTTGTAAGAGGTGTCCTAAGAACAGAACAAATGGCCTATATACATCAATTAGAGTAAAAATTCTATTTACACAATCAAGCTAAAACATAGATCATATAACCACACCTTCAAAAGCACACTACATTGCACTTGAGTACCAGAAATTGTATAGACATCAAAAAAGTCGGGCTTAAATGCGATAGACTGATAAGCAGACCTCGATGAGTTGAGTGTGTGACAAGCAAGCTGCAGGCAAAAGGGAGTACAAAGACAGATAAACCTTTAAATTGATGCAGCTAAAGCAAACAACAGATTAATCATTTTCATGCTCTTTCTTTAACATCCTTATCTCTTTCTTACAAGTTTCAAGACAATTCAGTCCAGTAACAAATCAAACAAATAAATATATTACAAAATTCAAGGAAATAAAAAAAAAAGGAAAATAAAAACCCAAAAAAAGAAAGAAAAAGGTGTCCCTAATTTAAAAAATGATATTGCTCTATCGCTGTATACACTAATTCAATACTTTGCTAGATGTTATTGGTATGAAATAGGCAAAGCCAATTAACCCCAAGTTTGGTTGATGAGATAACTGACTGTTGTGTATCAGTGTTTAGGTTATCAAGAAAGAAAATCAACCTTAATGAAACAAAATATTATTAAAAGGCCCAATCAAGCAATTCCATTTTCTTTTGCCTCCTTTTGGGGATGAGGTCCCAAATGATTTAGATTTGACCTCACAATCCTAGTTCAATTTTCTTCTATTTTTTTATCAAATACAAAACAGAGGTTTAACCAGAAAAGGCATTAGTTTCTTGTATTAATTATCACGCATGGTCTTTCCAAAACCCTGTAAACCCATGTTTGGATCTTCAATTTGTGGAGCGAAAATAAACTGAATTACTCTCTTCTTTTTTCTTTTCTTTTTTTCCAATTTCCCTTCCCTTTTACTTTCCCTCCACAAATTCTAAGATCCAGACACAGCCCAAACATCATCAACCAAGCATAGAAAATACTATCCACTGAATTACAGGACAAATCAAATAAAACCCATTACTCTAAATGGTTTTTGATTATGAAAGATTTGAGAAACCCACCAACTAATTAGGTCAATGCGAAGTTGTACAAGCTAGTTTGACGAGAAGGGCATATTCATCATGCATACTTTTCTTTCTTTCCAATTTCCCTTCCCTTTTACTTTCCCTCCATAAATTCTAAGATCCAAACACATCCCAAACATCATCAACGAATTCTAGAAAACTCTATCCGCTGATTTACAAGACAAATCAAATAAAACCCATTAAAAACAAACAATTAACTACTCTAAATGCTTTAAATTATATGAGACTTGAGAAACCCATCAACTAATTAGGTCAATACGCAGTTATACAAGCAAGTTTGATGAGAATGGCATATATATATATATATATATAATACAAATATGTGTCTCCACATGTATGTATACATTCTATGAATTGCATAGAAAGAAGCAGAGAAAGAGCAAGTGAGGTGGGGAAGGGGATACCTGAGAAGGAGAGGCTTGAATGGCGAGCTCGTTCCCAATTCGTGCGAGGCACGTGATGCACCTAGCGAAGGTTTTTAGGGCGTTCCCGCTCAGGCTGAACTCCATTTTTGCGGCTCTCTCACTCTCTCTCTCGCTAGGCAACCAGATCGACTCAAATGGCGGGAAAGAGAGCCCGCTTCACAACAATCAACTCCTTAAATTTTTAGGACTCATTTTACAGTTTGCTCTTTCAAAGCTCAATATAAAAGTATTGTCTTGGGTCAATTCTACCCATAAATTTAGGCCAAGTTTGGCATGACCTAAATAATATAAAAAGTCAAAAAATTACTATCCTATTTAAGTCACATCATATTATTTAAATCACATCACCTCTCTAACACATCACATCAAACCCAACCCATATAAGCCAATAAGTCAAAAAGTGTACTTTTTTAGAACATCCCAAACCAACCCTTAGGGTTGGTTTGATATAAACTAAATAATACAAAAAGTTAAAAATTTACTATTCTATTTAAGTCACATCATCTTATTTAAATCACATCATCTCTTTAACATATCACATCAAACCCAATTTAAACCTAATCTATATAAGTCAATAAATCAAAAAATGTACTTTTTTAAAACATTCCAAACCAATCCTTAATGTAACAATCAAATATGGGGTTTTTTTTTTTTTTTTGAATAACGGTAAAAAGTCAGTTTTTTATTTTTTAGTTTTTTCAAAAAATTCAATTTTTTTACTTAAAACAATACAATTTTTTGTCAAAAAAATCATCAAAAAAAGTCAAAAATCAAAAAATTAATTTTTTACAAACTTTTCAAAACGCCACATAATCTACCTTCTTCTTGTTTTTTTTTTTTTTTTTTTTTTTTTTTTTTTTTTTTTTTTTTTTTTTTTAACTGTCATTTGGAGAGAACACGAAAAGTATCTGCCTTTGGTTTTAATTTTTTAATTTTTATTTTTAAAAAATTAAATATTTTATTTTTCGTATTTTTTATTTTTAATGAACATTTTTAAAATTTTAAACAACTTTTACATTTTTAAATGTACTTTATTTAGATATATCTAAAAAGTAAATTATTTTAAAAAATCAATAAATACACAGGAATACGAAAAATATACTATATTTTTATATTTTTGGTATCTAATAAAAATTCACAAATATTATAATTTTTAAATATATTTTTGTTAGGTGTATCTAAAAATTAAAAAAATTACTTAAAATATTAAAAAAATCAATAAAAAAAACACACACACACAAAAAAAATTAATTTTTTAAAAAGTGAATCTTAAATTATGAAACCAAACAAGTTAAATTATGACTTATTTTACACTTTGCTCTTTCAAAGCTCAATATAAAGTATTATCTTGAGTCAATTCTATCCATAAATTTAATGTAATAATCAAACATAATCTTCTTTTTTTTTTTAAACTGTCATTTAAAGAGAACACGAAAAGTATCTGTCTTTTGGTTTTAATTTTTTAATTTTAATTTTTTAAAAGTTAAATTTTTTGATTTTCATATTTTTTATTTTTAGTAAATATTTTTAAAATTTAAACAATTTTTATATTTTTAGATGTACCTTATTTAGATATATCTAAAAAGTAAGATATTTGTAAAAAATATATTTTAAAAAATCAATAAATATGCAGGAATACAAAATATGTACTAAATTTTTATATTTTTGGTATTTACTAATTTTTTTATAAAAAAAAATCACAAGTATTAAACTTTCTAAATGTATTTTTGTTAGGCGAATCTAAAAATAAAAATAAAAATAAAAAATTACTTAAAATATTAAAAAATCAATAAAAAAAATGCAAAAAACAAAAAATAATAATATTTTAAAAAGTGAATCATAAGTTAGGAAACCAAACAAATTAAATATTTTTTTCCTTTTTTTTTTTATTCAACCGTTAATAAAGGAAAATAAGCATTTGAAATAAATAGGTACATAAATTAGAGGGCTAATCTCTCACAACACTAAAGCCCTAGTTTGGCTATCATTTTGGGGTTAAAAATGTATAAAATGACAAAATAGGCTAAATAAGCTAATCAGACAAAATATCACATATAACTTGTAATCATTACACTTTTTTCTCACAAAAGTCAAAAAAGCCAAAAAAACCAAAAAAAATTAAACCAAACGAGACTAAAAAGGCTAGATTAAAAAAGTCTCAACACAAAAAAATTGACTATATTAACTAATGCCAAACGAAGTTTTTCCGGTCATATCATCTATGATCAAAGTTGTCACTGCTCCTAGTGGGTCTTCAAGTATTGCCATATGTTCATCTTGTGCAACACCTATATAAATTGAGATGTTTAGGAAGAAATTTTTTAATTTTTTTTTTGGCTAAAATAGCACTAAAAGACAAAATAACAAAAAATTTAGCCTCATAAAATAGTTAAAATAACCTACTAAAATAATAACTTTTCAAACACCCACAATGACTAATTTGTCAACACATTTGTTTCATTCTCTGAGTGTGTGTCGAATCCTCAACGAGGGCCTTGTGGGTTGAGTTATGGCACGAGCCATTTTGAATTTGGTTGATTGCTAATTCATAATTGGTTTCAATTTCCACCTCCTTTGTGCCTTTTTGAAAAAATCCTCCAAATGCTCTTCAAATGCATGATGTAAGGGTGAAATGTAGTTTTTTTTTTTTTTTATGTTTTTTAAAGAGCAAACTTCACTTTACCTCCTTATAGTTTGAGGTGGGTGCGGATTACCCCTTTGATGTTCGAATATTACCACATAACCCCCTTGTGGTTAATGGGTTAATATGCACAGTTAGCATTTCCATCTATTCTAACAGGGCGTGCAGTTCATGCAAGTAATGTGCAATTGGGCATGAACTGATGATGATCCCTCACAATGAAGAGACCAAAATGCCCCTAGAGTTAGAAATAAAAGCTTACCCAAAAAGATTGCTTTGTATACTTTCTCTGTCCTCTGCATGTTTAAGTTGCAGGCCAGCAAAATTGTCCTCTTCAAGCATGGACGGTAGAGAAAGACAAATGTTGAGGTTCATCAACAAGAAATGTCGTTGTGGGAAAAAAGCAATCATTAGAATCATAGAGTCCGAAAAGCCTTCGAAAGGTAGGTTGTACTATGTGTGTAAAAATGCGGGTTTGAGGGGGTTGTGATTTCTGGGCTTGGTGCAACCCAGTTGGATTTGATCCCGCCTATGGAATAGATGAGATTAATGATGAGAAGCCAAGAGTTGAGGAAGGTGTGCACTTTAATGGAAGACTCATGAAGTTGGAAATGAAGATGGAGGCATTGAACAAGATGATGAATGCATCTAAGGTGGTTTTGGTTGTGTGTTTCATTAGCACCATGTTAATGTTTAGTATGAAATGAATTTGTAAGGTGCATTATGTACTTGTTTGAAATCAATGAAATTATGTTTATGAAATTAGTGATTTTTGTATTTTTTCTTACCGCATGCCAATGCAAACAATGTAAAAAATAGAACTCTGCTAAGTTTAATTTTTTAAAAAAACAAATAATTCTGAATTGTTGTTACTGCATTCCAATGCAAAAAATAGAACCAACATTAAAATTCATTCAAGCTTATTCCAACACAATTAACCCTGCTAAGTTTAATTGCAAAACAAACAAATAAGTGATATTTTTCTAAATACAAAAACGATACTTCCCAAAAATCTACATTACAATGGCCCAAAAGTAATCCATTTACAGAACTATGCTGCATTTCAATACCACAATTGCCAATTAATCTAATATGCTAAAAACTCACAAAAAACACATCAAAAGTTTGCACAATAGTTGAACCAATTTTTCAAAACCATAACTCTAAGTATGTGTCTACCCTTCCTTAGCTTAAATACAAACAGACCCTACACTATTGTTTCAATACAAAACAAAAATAAGAACAACAGGTTATCCTATGCTCTAGTTTGACCCACTAGCCAGTTCTTTGACCTGCCTCCTTGCTCTAATTGTCTCAAATACAGAAGTTATAGATACAACATGCCTTCTCACATCAGCATTCACTCTACTTCTTCCAACATTGACTGCAATTGCATTAATTGGTCTTCTACTCTTCCACCAACTGTGACTTCAGGTCCTTTGGCAAGACCACTTGATGCCTTTCCACCGTGGGTTGGTAGTTTTGTGGGCTGCAACAACATTTTCAATTAACAAACTAACAAGTTACAAAATAAAAAAGTTGGAGTTATACTCCTCTTCAGTCCAATAGAAGCACCTGTCATTGGTGGCTGAGATGCTGATTGGCCTCCTCTTCTGGTTTGCCTTCCACCGGACATCTGAGGCAAAAAAATTTACAATTAGGAACATTCACAAATTGGGCACCCTAGTACACCTCTGGTACAAATTAATTCAACTTTAAATTAGGCCTAAGATGAAGTAAACCCTATATTGAAGTTACAAGTCAACATTAAAAGTTAACTTTTGTCGTGTTACCTCATTGGATGGGATGTTTGTTGTTGGAGTAGAAGTAGGAGTTGATGCAGGTAGAGATGAAGATGATTGCCTCCTAGTAGATCTCTCCTGCAACAAATAGCTTAAGTTACTAGCACAAACAAATCTAATAACAACATGTGTACAACAAATGAATGCATAAGTATACACTAACCTTCACTATTTTGGACTTAGGATGCAGACTATTCTTGCATGACCTCTGATTGTGCCTCTTCTATAGACACTTAACACATGTCACACTGATGTTCTTCCTTGATGTCTTGTGTGGATTTATTGGCTCATTTGCTTGTCTGTTTCTTAACTTCTTTGTTCTTCCTACTAATTTCTTTGTTTCTAGTGGATTCAATTTCTAGCCACCTTCCTCGTACTCATGCATGTCTGAAACAGGGTGTATCATGAATGCATAAGTATCAAAGTACTTTGACTTGGTGTAATACTCATGCACATAGTCTTCTGGCTGCTTATGATTGATTTGAATGGCATTGTTGGCATGGCTACAAATTTCATTTCAACTACAAGTTTGGGATCCTTCATCATCCCTACTTTGTATTCAGGGTATCCATTATCTGCTTTATCTTCCTCGTCTAATGACCCTTTCAGACTAATCAGTTCATCATTATCATCAGGATCTAAATACCAACCAACATCAGCTGCTTGATTGACTGTAGGCGGTGGTCCTTCTGTTCTTCTGTGTGAGGTTTCATCAAATATGTCATCATTTGAACCCTCTAGGTCTTTATACAACCAACTTTGGTCATCACTTTC